CCTTTCGTTCTAGATGGTGGTGACAAAGATGCTAAAGATTTGGTACAGATGCGATTTGAACAGAGACTCCGGGATGGTGTAGAAGATGGGTCTGTCCTGGGTCAACGAATTGGGAACTTTGAAAAATATACCAAGGTGAGAACAGAAGTGGGAATATATTACTTGTCTAAAATAAAACAGAGCAGATACCGAAAAGCGTTCATTCAGTTGTTGAGGTAACAGTTTTGTTGCAGCTATTAACGAAATGTGCGGTTACAGCACAAGAGGCCAGGAGAATGACTGCTGTTGTGTAGCCCCTAATAAAGTTGATGCAGATAGTCCTCAACTTACAACCATTCATTTAGTGACGATTCAAAGTTACAATGGCAATGAAAAAAGTGACATATGACTGGGTTTCACACTTATGACCATTGCAGCATCCCCATGGTCACACAATCAAAATTTGGCTACCTAGCAACTGGCATGTGTTTATGACAGTTGCCCTGTCCTGTGGTCATCTGATTATCATTTGTAGCCTTCCCAAGCTGGCTTCCAACAAGCAAACTCAATGGGAGAAGCCAGGTTTGCTTAATGACCATATTGTTGACTTAATTGCAATGATTTGCTTAACAACTGTGGCCAAAAGGTCATAAAATGGGGCAAAACTGCCTTGCTTAGCAATGGAAATTTTGGGCTCAGTTGTGGTCGTAAAGTTGAGAACTGCCTGTGTGCTTCTGATAATGATTACACTGTTTCTTTAAAAACCCGATTCCTCTCTTTATTCTGGCATCAGTGCTTTGTTGCTTTAGAACTGATTTTCCTTCTGTGCCAGGGCTTTGGCCGAAAAGTGATGGAAAGACAGGGCTGGACCGAAGGTCTTGGCTTGGGAAGCAGCAGCTCGGGAATGGCTGAAGCCTTAGACAATGAGGGCCGGAATCCCCGATGCAAAAGAGGTTTGGGGTAAGTGATGAGGGTCTCTTTCAAAATAAGTGCAACTAAGGGTTTCCACATAAAGATCCAGCTCTGCACGTGTGAATGGGCTGGTGGTCTCAGGTCTCTGGAGTTTGCTGAAAATACGAAAAACACATGAAACAGTCTGGCATTCTGGAGAAATCTTCTAGCACTTACAGTCTTGCTGTCTGAGTATGATGCAAAATGCAGATCAAAATATCTGGGAGGTAGTTTTCTTGCACTAAAGGCTGTTTATAAGAATAAACTGACATAAGCCTTCAGTTCCATGCTAATTTTAAAATAAGAGAAAGTTGCATTATGTACACAACTAGTTTCACTGCAGCTTTCTCTACATTCTCATGCATTGGAACATCCTAAAAATAGAAGTATTTTTTTTAACAAGGGATAGGAATAATAATATTCCCATGTGTTAGGGCAGGGGTCTTCAAACTTGGCCTGGCTGAGGAATTCTGGGAGTTGAAGTCCACAAGTCATAAAAGGACCAAGTTTGAAGACTCCTGTGTAGGGAAAAACTTTTTAAATATAGAATAATTTCAGTAAATATTATAATTACAACAGTGAAAGCTAATACAAACTAAAAGATGAATAAAAAGTTGACGTACAAAACCCTGGATGGCTTCTCCAATTGGATCCCAACAATGTGGAATAACTCGCCTTATGATAACTAGACAGGCCAGCACATTGCAGGTTTTCTGGAAGATTGTTAGTTCCAAAGTGTTCTGCAGGACTTTTGATGGATGACTGTCCCTTTGGTTATAATTGTCCATGTGATTCAGATATATATTTGGTATGTGCTGTTAGGATCAAAGTATTTATACTGTGAATGTTTTATTGTTGGCTTATTTTTCCTTTTGTGGATGTTTTAACTGTTGGCACCAAAGATGCTTTAATATTTGGAATTGCTACCGGTATTTCCATGGACCTTTTAATCACTCTTGTAGTGGTTGTAAATGGAATTTGTATGAGTCATTAAATGCAACATATAGAATATTTTTCGTTCCCAAAAATACCTAACTGAAACCTACAACAAATGTTATCCCTGTTTTTTCATATCAATTTCTGCAAATATTTACACACTAAACGTATATAAATGCTAATACGCAAAAACCTCTGTGCCAGATTTCAGAACAACGGCCCTACAGAATATTCATGAGGATCACAAAAGGATTGCATCAATTGTATTATTTTTTATTTGCTAGATTTGGGGAGAAAATTTTCTCCAATGTACTTTTTACAATATTGTTCAGAGCAGAGCTGAAGGCAACTGATACTCTTTGCTTTGTCTCTGAAGACCAACTCATTCTCTGCTCTTCTTTAGGTATCATGGTGAGAAACTCCAGACTTTCATCAAACCCAAGAATCCACGTAGGGACAGCTACGCTCTCATTTCTACCATCTATGATGACCCTCATCCTGTGGACTCAGAAGATCAGCTTCTTCGGCGTCAGCTGCCAATCAGTATGAAGTACCGGCAAGAGGTGTCTTTTGTCCAAGCCAGGCACGGCATGCAGGAGAATTCCAGTTCTGCATGAAGGACTGGCCAAGAAGGAAGGACTTTCCGATTGTGTCAGCTTTTCCAATGGACAATTTTTTTCATATAATTTTATTACTGTACATTAGCAGACAAAAGAGGTATAGCAAAGCCAGAGCAGGTTTTAATTATTTATATTAAAAGAAAAATACCCGATACTGCTTCTTGATACTTTACTATAAAATTAATTGAAAGGTAATTGGTGATCCCACCTCTGCAGATCTACAGTTCACATAACTCTACTCTGTAATAGGTCTACATGAAATCTTGCATTTTCATTCTTGACTTAAGGTGTGTCCTGCATACGTCTTTTATGCAATGAAGGGTATTTGGCCTAGTATATGGTGTAATTGAAGAGCAGTGATTATACTCTGACTAAAAGAGGAGTAAACTTGACCAACACGATTGAACTCTAGTGTCAACTCTGCAACAAACTGAAAAGAAGCCATTTTCACTTCGTTTTCGGTTGACACAGTTATACATTAACAACAATGTTAATGTAAAATTTTGAAAGACACAACAAAAAAGTAAAACGAATTGGTATAGGTGGTTTCTATGTTTTTACTTAGAATCACTGCTCTTATAGTCTGTCCCTCTAGCCCAGGAGTGGGCAGTTAATTTTCCCACATGGTCACATGAGAAACTGGGATGTTGTGGAGGACCAAACCAGTAGGGCTTTGAAGATGCATAGGCATGCACCTATGCACATACATAGATTGGGGGGGAAATGTTGCCTTCAAAATAAAAGCAATACAATTGTATTGGATCCATGGCACATGCTTATTTACATTTGATTTGTAATTTCCGATTGACCTCCCATGGGTGGGACAGGGACAGACAAAGATGTGGCTGAGGAGCCATAAAATGTCCAGGTCTTCTCTAGCCAATACTTCAGTTTACATGCAGCGCCATTTCCAAAGACTGACTGGTTTACAGTTAATTACATAATATTAAAGCATTAAAAAAGCCAGCAATCTAATCACAAACAAAACTAATGGGAAATGATTGCTATAATTACAATATAATTGCTTAGCCCAGTGTTTTTCAATCTTGGTGACTTTAAAATAGGTGGACTTCAACTCCCAGGATTCTCCAGCCAAGTGTTCCGCCTATCTTAAAGTCACCACGGTTGAGAAACACTGTTTTAACCGTTATTGCTGTGGCAAACTAGCAGCAAAGCTCTTCCTTTTGTGACTTGCAAATAGAATATCTTCAAGTTGTCATTGTTTTCATTATTGTATTCGTTCTAAAGCAGTGGTTCTCAACCTGTGGGTCGGGACCCCATTTGGGGTCGATCGACCATTTCATGGGGGTCACCAAGCAAGGCTGTCCGCCATTTTTTTGTCTGCCATTTTTTTCCCCTTTTCCAGCGGGTGCCTTACCTCCCTTGGGCTGGGCCAGCTGGTGGTCGGCCTGCTCCGTCTCTGCCGCTTGCCAGCTACGCCTCGGCCGGCGCAGGGGGCGGAACCACGCATGCGCGGTGCTCCCGGGCAGGGAAAGTCCTCGACTTACGACCGGTTGGGTAGTCCTCGACTTACGACCGGTTTAGTCCTCGACTTACGACCAGTTTAGTCCTCGCCTTACGACCGGTTGGGGTCGCGGCATTAAAAAGGTTGAGAACCACTGTTCTAAAGGAGAATGTTGACATGAGGGGTCCCTGGTGCTCTCTGAGCCTGATTGTTTTCTTGAAGACGTTTCATTAGCCAAATAGGTAACACTAATTAGACTAGGTTAGCACTAGCGCTGATGATGTTACCTAGTTTGGGTAATGAAACGTCTACAAGAAAACAGCCACGCTCAGAGAACCCCCAAGGACCCCTGTATTCCTTCTTTCTGCTCATTGCTATTCCTCTTGGCCACCCCTAGAGGGAGCCTAGCGAATGAAAAAAAAGAACTACAGCCTCCATTCCTTGGCCCTGTCTCAGCACTTCCCATCCTGCAGGTGGCGCCCGTCGTTCGCTTACAATGACTGCATTACGATACGCCTTCTCTTTCCAAGCCTGGTTAGACGCCACTTACCATAGAGACAGCCCGAGATAGAGCGCCAGCCTGCTATTCCTCGGCCAATCCCAGCTTCCGCGGTTGTACCGTAGAAGTAAGAGAGTATAGAGAAACGCTCTTTCATGCGTGATCATCTCTCGGGGTAATGATCGGAAGCGGCCGGTAGAAGGAACCAATAGCAGAATCCCAGGTGAATCCTATGGGACTTTAGGATACGCGGATCCAAAACGGTCGTTTTGCTGATGGAGGGTGACTTTCGGAGGCAACCCGGGATCCATTCCTAGCTCTATATCGGAGGGACCGGGAGGGCTTTTGCACCGTCCGCCGCCAACCCGCACGGCGTGGCGTTCCCCCGGTTGCAGCGAGCCCGGAGCGGCGCATTGAGCCGAAGGGTGGCCCAGAAGACGGGGGCAGAGAGGGGGCTGTGGCTCTTGCCTCGCCTGCCCATAGGAGCCCTTCCCAGCCCTCCTCTCCAATCCAGTCTTTTTGCAAAAGTTGCGTAATGTGGGAATGTAATACGGGTTTTATCAAACAAGTGTGTGTGTTGTACCCTAAGTGTGAATTGTTTTCTTTAATGTGAATAGCACAGGTATCAATAGTATGGACTCATCCCTGCCTACTGGTCTTATTCTTTCTGATGTCTACTTTTAGGAGAAAGAAACCTGCAGTATGTCAAAAACCGACAAGCAGCCATCACTAGCCTTCGGTCAGGTAGTGATTGGGCCGCCCGGCTCCGGAAAAACCACCTATTGTCATGGCATGCAGGAATTCCTGTCTGCAATTGGGCGCAAGGTTGCTGTGGTGAATCTGGACCCAGCAAATGAAGGGGTTCCGTTCCAGTGTGCTGTAGATATCTCTGAACTGATCACCTTGTCTGATGTGATGGAGAATTTGAAACTTGGCCCCAACGGTGGCTTAATCTACTGCATGGAGTACCTAGAGGCGAATTTTGACTGGCTACAGGAGAAACTGGACCAACTGAAAGGACATTACTTCTTATTTGATTGCCCCGGACAAGTGGAGCTCTGCACCCATCATAGTTCATTGAGAAACATCTTTGCTCAACTTGCTAAGTGGAATTTCAGGGTATGTTTGGTCCAGAGGAAGCGAGAGCATTTCTAAAGGCCAAACCTCAACCTGTCCCAAGTCACAGTGACTGTATTTGATAACAGCTGCCCTTTCAATTCCCAGTGACAAATCATGAAGCCGTTGTAAAATACGATGCATTTTATGTGTGTAATGTTTGGTAGAAATTGCATGAGCTTGAAAAGAAGATGTATTCAACTAGAGCTGATCTGGACCTTAAAAATCCAGACAACTGCTAGATAGCAGCAAAGAGAGAAAACTTAAGGCAGATTTGCTAGCCTGTATTTAACAGTCAGTCTCTATTGTACACCTGCAATGCAATGGATGTGTCTAATTTAATGTGTTAATTCGTGGTATCACCAGAGTCCAGGAATCTTGGGGTTCTACACCTCAGTTTCAAATTGAAAATCTTCCTTATGCTTTATTTACTTTCCACCTTACATCAAAATATTGTTAAAATACTACTAGAAACATCTATGGAGATTCTCAAGTCATCCAGGTCATAGTTATCTCAAAGATGCTTTTGTCACGAGGCAAGTGGACTTTGTTTTTTCTTTGAAGATGTTTCGTGTCTCACCCAAGAAGCAAAACGTCTTCAAAGAAAAAATAAAGTCCACTTGCCTTGTGAAAAAAGTATCTTTGGAATACTACTAGAAACTTAAATCTCTTTTAGAAGATGTAGTATAGAGTTTGTATCTATGGCTCACTACATTGCTAAAACTCAGTGTGAACAGTATAAGGGGAGTGCTTTTAGTTCAGGGTCATCTGAAGGACTACAACTTTCTATTCCCATTCCTGACAGAGCCTCGTTTTTTGTATATGTAACTGCATATATTAAATCAGGGTTTCTCAATCTTAGCAACTTTTAACATGTGTGGACTTCAACTGCCAGAAATCCTCAGCCAGCATGCTAATTTCTCTACCCTTTTGTTTGCCCTTCATAGCTGGCTGCTGTTCATCTGGTAGATTCTCATTACTGCACAGATCCTGGCAAATTCATCTCTGTTCTCTGCACTTCCCTCGCCACAATGCTGCACGTGGAGCTGCCCCACATCAACATCCTCTCCAAAATGGACCTCATCCAGCAGTATGGGAAGTTAGGTGAGAGCAGGCGATCCTTGGGGAACTGTGGGTCTGATTAAAGACATTACTAAGGACCCATTACACATCAGATCAGAAGATGTGTGTAATCCACCCTGGGTCAGTTGAGGGTAGCCATAGTTCACTTACAGTTGGGTGATTGCCGGAGAAGTTTATCCAAGGTCTTGTCAGTCAGAAGACTTCATAGATAAATTACTACTCTAGTCTAAGTCAAATCTTTATAGCAGAAGTATACTTGTTTTGAAAGAAGGGCTAACTATTCTCAGAGACTGCCTGGACAAGTCCCTGCAGTTTTCTTGGCAAGGTTTTTCAGAAGTGATTTGCTGTTGTCTCTTTCCTAGGGCTAAAAGAAAATTAATTGGCCCAAGATCATCTAGCTGGCTTTATACTCCCAGGTCAGGAACTAGTCTGATGCCTTAACCACTACACCAAACTGTCTCTCCCTCTTTTAATTGCAACAGTTCCATAATTGGGGCATTTCATATTCCAGAAAAAAGATTTTGCTATCAAATTTCTGTCCAATATGTACGTATTATAAGAAATTACAGACTATCTTGTTCCTTATTCTATGAATTGAAAAAAGTAAGACTCTACATTTAGGCATGAAAAACCAAATGTATAGGTATAGTATAAGGGGTACTTTGCTCAATAGTAGCAACTGTGAGAGGGATCTCAGAGTCCTAGTGGACAATCCCTTAAATATGAGCCAGCCGTGTGCTGCAGCTGTCAAAAAAGCCAACACAGTGCTGGGCTGCATTAACAGGGGGATAGAATCAAGATCACGTAAAGTGTTAATACCACTTTATAACATCTTGGTAAGGCCACACTTGGAATACTGCATCCAGTTTTGGTCACCACGATATAAAAAAGATGTTGAGACTCTAGAAAGAGTATAGAGAAGAGCAACAAAGATGATCAGGGGACTGGAGGCTAAAACATATAAGGAACGGTTGCTGGAATTGGGTATGTCTAGTTTAATGAAGAGAAGGATGAGGGGGGACATGATAGCAGCGTTCCAATATCTCAGGGGCTGCCCCAAAGAAGAGGGAGTCAAGCTATTCTCCAAAGCACCTGAAGGCAGGCAAGAAGCAATGGATGGAAACTAACCAAAGAGAGAACCAACCTTGAACTAAGGAGAAATTTCCTCACAGAACAATTAATCAGTGGAACAACTTGGCTCTATAAGTTGTGGGTGCTCCAACACAGTTTTTAAGAAGAGCCTGGACAACCATTTGTCTGAAATGGTATAGGGGTTTCTGCCTGAGCAGGGGGTTAGACTAGATGACCTCCAAGGTCTCTTCCAACTATTGTTGTTATTATGTGAAGATTTATTTCCCCTTTCATTTGCCTTACAGCATTTAATCTAGATTATTACACAGAAGTTCTTGATCTGTCCTACTTAGTGGATCACTTGGCTTCAGATCCGTTCTTCAAGAACTACCAACGGCTGAACAAGAAGCTGGTGGGAGTGATTGAAGACTACAGTCTGGTCTCTTTTGTTCCTCTCAATATCCAGGTAAGCAAGCCAAGGAGAGGAACAGATGAAGCTTTGGTAATACCCATCAATTTCCTTCCACTATTTTTACCTACACTTGAGCTGCAAATAACTGTGCTTGAGAGAGGTGTGACATACATTTGTTAGTGCAGAAGGAAACCAATGAGATTAAGAGGTAAAAAATAAACAAATCTAGATAACTAATTCTGAAACTGACCAGTTGTGAGGACAGTTTCTCACAACTGGTCAAAACAGAGCTAAAAAGGTCTGTGCCCAGTGGGTGTGCCTCTGACTAAATGCTGTTATGGAGCAGAATGTTTAAGGAATGGGGAATAGTTTGAGGTCAATAGAATGATAATATAAACTCCTGGGTGATTTTCTTTTGTTTATTCCAGCATTTGGTAACTATAACCTCATGGCAGTGTGATTTCAATTTGTCCTTCCTAAAGAAAACTTTCAGATCTGAATGTAAGAGACAGCTCAGAGGATTCATTTTATTAAAACTGTTGCTGGGACTTGCCTGCCATTAATCAGGCTAGCGAGAAACGGGATGAAATATGGCAGAGAAATCAGTTGGGGCATGACCTGTTTCTAATGGTTCCTTGTTTCAGGACAAAGAAAGCATGCGGTGTGTGATGCAAGCAGTGGACAAAGCCAACGGTTACTGTTTTGGGGACTCTGAACACAGAAATCTCAACGTCTTGATGTCTGCAGCAATGGGAGCTGATTTTCATTTTACATCGTATCCTTTTTGCTCTCTCTCGCCTTCCTCTTTCTTGGAAGCTGTGGATTACTTCTGTGCCTTAGGAAATGCAGAGGTTTGGGGAATCCTGCTTATTGTGTGATGTCATTTAAAGAGCATTTTAAACCAGTGGTAGCAATTGTCTTGTGTGCTGCACCTAGCCCTGCCCTCTCAAATTGCCTGATTACTTCTCATGCTTTTGCTCCATATAACAAATGATTCTTTTTTATTCCATCCACCATTTTGGGTAGTACACTGCAGTCGTTAAGTTAATAACCTGTTTGTTAAGTGAATCTGGCTTCCCTACTGAGTTTGCTTGTCAGGTCACAGGACACTGTGGCAACCGTCGATAAATGTGAGTCAGTTGCCAGGCATCTGAATTTTAGTCACATGAACCTGGAGATGCTGCAACGGTTGTAATTTCGAACGGTCACTAAATGAATTGTTGTAAATCGAGGACTACCTGTATATGCAGATGTCTGTCCTGCCAGTCAGCAGATACAGACAGACCAGCTTACCTTTCTTTAATGCCTTTGGGCTTCCTTTCTCCTTAACTCTCCCTCCATCAGCACCCTGGCAGTCCAGGAGAAGTATGTGCAGCCACAGGAGAAAACGGTGGAGCAGGAAACTTTAGACATGGAACATGCCAGTAATGGCAGCCACTGAAGGAGGGTGGATCAGCCTGCCCAAAATGGTCTCCCAGCAAGAACAGCAGGGATGTGCGTGCGTGCGTGCGTGCATGTGTGTGTGTGTGTTCTGTGGTACTCCCAGGCTTGGTGCAGGAGTGAGCAGGCCACCACTATTGGGTTCCTTCTAATTGTGGTGTAGTGAGGACCCAGATGTTTCTGATAAGAAACTTGTATAGTTGGCAAGGCGATATGATTTGGCACCTGCTAGTTAAGAGATGACTATTCATTGCTAACAAAGTTGTTGTCCTAGAACAGGGGTCTTCAAACTTGGCCCTTTTATGACTTTTGGACTTCAACTCCCAGCAATGTGTCTCCTTCAGAGCATTATCCTGCTTTATTTTGCTGAGAAGTGTTAAGAGTTCTCTCTGCTACCATTCCACAACTTGGTGCCTTCCAAATGCTTTGGAGGGGCCTCTTGACAATAATATGCCTTGGCCATCAGCTCAAAGGCCATTGATGGGGAAAGCTTCTCTGTCCTATCACAGATCACTTTCTTAAGAGTTTGGTGGTCTGTTCCCAACAAGGCCCTACCTTCTGGACGCTTTGAATTGTGATGCTGAGGGAAAACATGGAATCTGGATATTGTTGAGAAGAGAATCTTTTCAGGCTTTTTTGGTGCTGCCAAAGATTTTGGATTTTGGAGAGAGGAATGCTAAATAAAGAAGTTTTCGCACTTTCTTTTTCAAACTTTGGTGCATTTGTATGATATTTTATATAGACACAGGCTTGGAGCAGTGTGACTTCTCCCTCTGCAGTATATGGGGTAGAAGAGGAAAACAACATTTGCAGATGTTTTAAGACTACAATATAAAATATATAGCCAGACTGAATCAGGCCAAAAACATCAAATACCCATGGTTATTGCCATGTCTTCCAAGTTAGTGGAAACCTAGAAGTCGACAGGCTACTACTGGCAAAGTCAAGGCACTAACTTTCCAAGATAGTGCCATGTTAAGGCCATACTCATAGTCAGTGAGTTAAAGTCCACACATCAAAGTGGCCAAGTTCGAAAAACATTCATTTAAGAAGTCCGCATCGATATGGGTACAGTAACATCTTCCTGTAGTAGAGTTTGAAACTTTCACTCTGCTGGATTTGTATAATTAGTTTAAAACCTGAATTGGTGTCATCGTTAGACCCACTGATTTTATGCACAGATGTGAAGAAATACTTCTTTAATCCATCTCAAATCTTTCATTGCCATTGAACCTCCCTAGATTCTCATTTTACAAGAAAAAGAAAATACTTTAATTTGAATTACTTTCTTCCCATGAAGCGTACTTTGTGTATCACCATGTCTCTCCTCTTGCCATTTATTTCTAAATAAAATAGCTCTAAAGGATTTGTAACTCTTCTTGGTAGGGCACTTAACACTTACTACAGTATATCATTTTTTTTTAAGCTAACAATTTTTATTTAAGCACAAACTGGAAAATTATTCCACCTGTACACATATGAAGTGCCATCTAAGGAGATAGGTATGCTAATAGATGCGGAGAGGAAAATTTCAAATTTCAAGATCAAATAAAGTTATAAAAGAAAGAATGTAATAGAAACACTGTGCCTTTTAATAATGAAGCAAGCATTCTATCATTGCAGTAAAGATGCTTAAAGGATAGAACTGCATGTTGTAATTTGTACCAAATTGATAGAAGGAGAAACATCTTCTGGTGTTATGTCTTGTTTGTGCAACTTATGAAAATTGGTGCACAGCTCTTGGCATTTTATTATGAAAGGGAAATTAAATTGCTTACATTCTAGATAATAACTCTGCAGATATTTTTATGGTGGGTTTTTTTTAAAGATCCAAGCCAGCTGTTGGCTCACTGAGTTCCTTAATAGAATTCTTCCCTCCTTGCTTCATTATCTCTGTTGAAAGATGTTCAAAATAGCTGGTGAAGGTATCTAGAATCTCAGCCTTTGAGGTAGGGATCAGCAGCGCTGACTGAGGACCCCAATACCAGCTAAAGGTTATGGACCTATAGTCCAAGTCAATGGCCCATCGGGAAGATACACCATTTGGAAGATGAATGGATAATCACTAGGAAGAAACCTATTTGGCTGGCAAGAAAGCAAAACATTTCAGTAAGGATAGAAATGTCTCAGTGATGAGAGATATTTACCAGCTCAGCAATGCAAGGTGCATTTTATGACAAAGAGGTGACAAAGATTTTTTTGTATTTGCTCACAAGCAAAGGAAGATGCTCCATAAGGATAACTGATGTTTTTTCCTAGCGTTTACCTGCACACAGTGCATTTCTCCATCTTGAAAGGTATGGAGACCAAGCAGGAAAACAGATGAAATCAGATAAATCTATGATGAAATGCAATAAACTTATAGGCAATCATGACCAAGTTACACCTAGGTCAGGGGTAGGCAACCTAGCTATGCTGGCTCAGGAATTCTGGGAGTTGAAGTCCACGAGTCATAAATGAGCCAAGGTTGCCTACCCCTGACCTAGGTCTTAGATTTACAGGATAGCATTCCTCTGGTAAGAACTTTGCTCCTGCAGGTGTCCATCAAAAATAGCAAGAATATTCTAGCACATTCAACAACCTTTCTCAAATCTGGTTATACCTAGACAACCCCTCAGTGTACTAGGTTGGGAAGACTGGAGAATTATATATGTGGAAGAAGAAAGTTTTGTGTTTCACTGCAAAGAATGTGGGATGAATATTACTGAGCAAAGAAATAGATGAAATTACAATATGTTCTTTTGACACTAGGTCAATCCTAGTGTCCTTGCTTTGTGCTGCTAAAGAACATGGCTGTGATCCACTAAAATATTTGCTTTGCATTCTAACTTGAACAGTTTAGACGTTTTCTGCTGTGTCTGCTATGCTTCTGGGGGCTGCAGTGAGGACTCAGGATGATGGCTAAAATTGGCCATCAGGCAAGAGAAAGTAGACCCGATCGTTTTTTCCAGTTGCCACCATGAGGTGCTGCTGATACATCAGCAGGATAACCAAAAACAGTTCTTCTGCAGTATAGGTTCCTGTTAAGAGCTATTCCATTGGGCCCACAAGGGGTTGCTCTTAATGCAAGAAATAGGTAAGATGTTACTGGGTGTATTTTCTTTGACTGTGGACAAAGATGGCCTTAAGCTTGTTCCCACAGTCTCAGTGTTATTGGGAGTTATCCTGAATAGGGAGAGAGAGACAGAGAAAGAGAGATCTATAGACTGCTTACAAATTGCTTTTAAAAAACCTGAATTGCCTATTGGGATCAAAGTAAGAAGAAGTTGTCTCAGTGAGGGATTTTGCTTTTCTCAGCACTACCCAGGATTGATGTACTGGGTCTACGGCTGAACTGATCCTCTGGCAGGCCTGCTATGATATCTTGCAGTTTCTTAGCTCAGGGGTCTTCAAACTTGGCCCTTTTATGACTTGTGGACTTCAACTCCCAGAATTCCTCAGCTAGGCACGCTGGCTGAGGCATTCTGGGAGTTGAAGTCCACAAGTCATAAAAGGGCCAAGTTTGAAGACCCCTGCCTTAGACAGTGTGCTTATCCCAAAGCCAAAATGTTCCTTTAAGACAATCTAGGTTGCTGGCATGATTGTAAAAGTCTACCTAGTAGGTCATACTTAGCTGTGAATGGCTACTTGAATTCCTGAGACACCATTAGCACAGAGATGGGTCCCTAATCCTGGAGGATTAGATGCTACCTAGAAGGGACAGGAAAGTCAGTCCTTCAGCTCACCTTTCCCATCCAGGCTCCTTGTCTGCCACTTCCATTGGTGAGCTTTGCACCTTTCTCTCAGGTGACACATCTGTTTCCTTGCAAAGCACCTGGCTGGCTAGCAGGCAGGCCCGTCTCACAGCTGCAGCTCTGCCAGCCTCAGCAATTTCAGTGCAGCTTCAGCAGTGAGGTGGGGCAGGGCTGAGCCCTAGTAGGCCTGAGGCTCTGGGCTGCCTTCTCTTTCTTTTTGCACACCCATCATGCTCTGTTGCAGCCTGCAGGGCAGACACTGGGTTCAGTCGCAGCTGGGGTGGGCAAGGCACAAGCAGGCAGAGTCAGGGCACATTCCACCCAAGAGCAAAGAGGAGGTATGACTTAGGTGGGTGAAAAGAATTTAACTATTTCTCAAGGCAGACATTTCCTGGGTCATCTCGAGGGAACCCGGCTATGGCTCTGGGGCTATGGAGAGTGGGGGAAATCCCCGTCTTTCTCCCTTGCTAGCCAACCTGCAGATAACAAAAGGATACTTAATATGGAAGATTTGGACATGGACCATTTGGGTGCACGGAACAGGTTTCTAAGATCCCAACACCCAGAAACAGATTAATTGTAATGCTTATCTTGGCACTGGAAGCTCTTAATCTCTCACGGTTCCACCCTTTTAGAGGTTCCTCCCTAGCTTCCCTTTTTATGCTATTCCTTCTTTATCTTTTAGCAAGAGCAAGGCCATCCATGGCTAATCAGGAAGCCTATCACTGCACAAAGGACTAGTAGTTCAATGCCTTTTGATGCATCTCATCTCTTTTAACATGTCACGATTAGTCATGTGTTTTGCATGACGTGTAATTAGTGGCTCTGGGGTGAGAAAGTGTTGAGTCCCACAACTATTATCCTATGAAAGCGCCGAGAAACAATTCCAAATAAGGCTATGTAATTGTACTCTGACCTGAAAACTGCAAGGAAAATGACTATTGCCTTAAGAAACCCTCCAGAAATATTAGCCTTGACCGGCCTGGTGGGATCTGCTGGTTAACCTCCACTGGGTGGATCAGAAAAACACCTGGAATGTCTTGGGAATGGGATATGGGTGTTGGTGAGGTTTTCAAAGGCACCCATGGCTGTTACCCTGATGGGAAGTTTCTCAGACAAGGTGGAGCTCCACCATCCAGACACACCTGCTCTCATCTTCTCTTCCCCAGCCCTCCTTCTCCACCCAGTCCACGCAGGCACAAACAGCTGTGTTAGCAAAGCTGCAGCTGCTTGGTGGTTCATGGGACAAGAATCCCCCTGTTCCTCCACCCTGCCCAAACTGCTGAGTAATGGCTTTTCCTGCAAGGCCAAGTCCCTCTCTAGTCCTCT